GTGTGTGTGTGTGTGTGTGTGTGTGTGTGTGTGTGTGTGCGAGGGGGAGGGGGAAGGTAAGAGAGATTATTGAGAGAGGTGAGCGAGAGCGGGTGGAAGGAAGGAAGGACCACTCGCTTGTCTCAGCTGCTGTTGCTGGCTGTGGTTGTTTTGCCAATTGCAGTCGGCTGTTGGTGCAATTTGCAAAACAAGGCAACAAGAGGAAGAGAAGAAGAGCAACGTGTGTGGTGGTGGTGTGTTGGATATGAGGTGGCATGTGATGAGATTGTGGGTGTCGGATGTGTGTGTGTGTGTGTGTGTGTGTGTGTGTGTGTGTGTGTGTGTGTGTGTGTGTGTGTGTGTGTGTGTGTATGGTTGTGTGCGTTGCTCGCTGCTGCTACCGCTGTGTGGTTCGTTGTCCTACAATGACGGACTCACGGCACGCATCACATGTCCTGCCGTCTGGGACAGCAGCCTCTTGTGGTGGTTGTTAATGTCTGTGGGTGTTGTTGCAGGGGTTGTTGTTGCTGCTGAAAGCAAGGACGTCAATCTTAAGAGACATCAACAACTACGTTAGCACCACCAAGGAAACCTTAGGCTACGTCGCAGCGCCCGGCCCTTTTTGTTTTGACTCGCTCGATTGATTGCAACTGGCAAGCAAGTCTGCGACCGTCATCAGCATGAACCGCGAGGCAGCACAGCAGTGCATCCAGCGCGCGCGCTCGCATATGAGCGCCGGACGCCTGGACGATGCCCTTCGCTTTGCGAAAAAGGCCGCAAACATGAAGGACACGGACGTGCACCAGGCAGAGAGTGAGTGCGCGCATGTGTGTGTATGTGTGTGTATGTGTGTATGTGTGTGTGTGGGTGGGGGGGGGGGTTGGTTGGTTGGTTGGTTGGTTGGTTGGTTTGAGTTCGCTTGGGGAGGTGGTGTGTGTGTGTGCATGTACATGCGTACGTTTGTCTGCTCTGCCAGTGTGAATTGCTGTGCGCGTGTGTATTTGTGTACTGTGTGCTTGCTGACCTGCCTGCCGGTTTTCCCCTCGTCTAACGACTCCATGCGTGCATGTGTGTGTGCGTGCGTGCGTGTGTCTTGGCAGCGCTGATCAAGATTATTCAGGAGAAGCAGAAGAAGGCAGCGAGCGGGTCGGACGGTGCGCAAGCCAGCAGCACAGCGCCGACGAGTGGCGCGGCAGCAGCAGACGGTGAGTGCGTGTATGCATTTGTTTGTGAGTGTGCGTGTGTATGCACGTGTGTGTGTGTGTGAGTGTGTATGTGTGAATGTATGAGTGTGTGAATGTGTGTTTCAATTCAAGCAGAAAGAACGCTCTGCTGCCATCCTCACAGAAATCAAACGTATGCGTGTGTGTGTGTGCGCGTGTGTTGATGGGTGCAGGAATGCGTTATCGTCGCACGGCGTTTCGCGCGGAGGAAAAGACGACAACCACGACATACCGCGAGCAGCGACAAGCGTGAGCCATGATGATCGTGGTGTTGGTGGTGTTGAAGGTTGGGGGGTCGCGGTGGTTGTGAAGGTGGGTTGCGCGCATCGCCATGTCACAAACGTGTCCACCTCATCTTACACAACACGTGGCACCCACTACCCTTCCTCTTCTCACCCATTGTCATCATCATCACCACCACCACCATTGTCATCATCATCACCACCACCACCATTGTCATCATCATCACCACCACCACCATTGTCATCATCATCATCACCACCACCATTGTCATCATCATCATCACCACCACCATCATCACCACCACCATCATCACCACCACCATCATCACCATCATCATCACCATCACCATCGCCGCCATCAGGCCGCCGTCACGGCCGTTCACAGCCGAGCAAGCGGCGGCGGTGCGTCAAGTCCTGCAGTCCAAGAACCTCTATGACCGTCTTGGTGTCGACAGGCGCGCAGACGCAAAGACTATGAAGCGTGCATTCAGAAAGGTGCGTGCGTGTGCGTGCATGTGTGTGCGTGCGTGCATGTGTGTGCGTGCGTGCGTGTGTGTGTGTGTGTGTGTATGCGTGTGTGTGTGTGTGTGAGTGTGTGTGTGTGTGTGTGTGTGTGTGTGTGTGTGTGCGTGTGACCTTTTGTGTTCGTGTCAGAGAGTAACCGTCCATCTCATCCATCCCTCTCATCCATCAACCAAGTCACGAATTCATCATTGCCATCATGCGACCATCTCTTAGCTCGCGCTGCGCCTTCATCCCGACAAGAACCCCGCACCCAAGGCGGACCAGGCATTCAAAGGTGATGATGATGATGATGATGATGATGATGATGATACGCACCTGCACCCCTCTGCGTACATGTGTCTGTGCTGACGTCATACACACGCGCACACACCATTTCTCTTGCCTTCAACAGCCGTCAACAAGGCATATGAAATTCTCTCGGACGACCAGAAGCGAAGGTATAGTGGAGTAGCAACGCCATGTGTGTGTGTGAGTGTGTGTGTGTGTGTGGGAGAGTGAGAGTGAGTGAGAGTGAGAGTGAGAGAGTGTGTGTGTGAGAGTGTGTGAGTGTGTGTTTTATGTGTATGTATGATGTGTGTGAATTATGTGTTTTGTTTTCGTGTGTGTGTGTGCTTGTGCCTTTTTGCTGTCGCGATGTGTTTCAGTAAGATGTTTGCCGCTGCAAGCACTGCATCCCCTGCTCCTCGTGTTCCTTTCTGCTTTCCCTCCCCTCTTCTCTCTTCCCGTCCCGTCCCTCTCCCATTCCTCTCTTCCTTCTTCTCCGTTCTCATACTCCTCCCCTCGCCCCTTACGGATTGCCATTCGCCCATCCAACAAACACCACCACCACCACCATCCCGTTGCCTGCAGGCATTACGACATGACGGGACAGGAAACGCCCTCGCGCCCAACAATGCGCGCAGAGGACATTTTCGCCAACATGCACGACAACCCATGTACGTTTGCAGTGGTTGGTGTGTGCGTGTATTATGTGTGTGTATTATGTGTGTGTGTATTACATGTGTGTGTATTATGTGTGTGTATTATGTGTATGTATGATGTGTGTGAATTATGTGTATTGTGCATGTATTATGTGTGT